GGGGTCGGAGGCTAGAGTGGGTTGTACCGGTGTGACGTAGCATGGAAAGGTGGTAAATCTAGTTGGGATTTGATCATACGGAACGATGAACACTGGGTACTACGGGCCACACTCGTTATTTCCTACGGTAAAAGGTGATTTTAAATCCATCAGTGAGTGCTCGTTAATGCACTTCAATCATTTGCAACCATCGGAAAAATATTCCAGATTAAAAAGAATTTTTTTTTCGGTTCTAATTAGGATGATATCATTAGGGGAATTTGGGGATTTGGGGATTTGGGGATTGTTCGCGAGTGGTAATTCCTGATTACATTCGAGAATTATAATTGGAATTTTATCCTATCCATAATGGAGAAACGCGTGACGTTAAGATAATGTGATTAATTACCGTTGATTGGGAGAATCGAGGTAATGCGAGCTGTATTAATTGCCCTAGTTATGAGAAAAACTCGGAGGTCATTGGTAATTGATAAGAGTTTGATAATGGGGGATCGAGTAAATGAATTAATTGAGGGAATATGGAATTGTTGGGCTTTAACGACTTTTTGGGGATTAATTTATTTACTTGTGAGGGGGGAGATGCAACGAGTGAAATTATGTCGATTTGTTGTCTTTTGAGAGAATTTCATTGCGTAATTGAATTTTGATTGCCATCTAGTTATTTACTGTTGAGTTTTAACTGACGAAATTATTTGATTTTGTGGCTCAATTTAAATTCATTAGATTGCAGTTTATATATCGTATTTATGTTGATTACGGAGATATTTTGGAAAATTATTTTGGAATTCTACACAGAATCCGTTACTTTTTTCAGAATGTCATGAGCTGTGAATATCGATCATCAATATCGTCCTGTTATTTTTGGAATTAATTCCCTCTTATGATTGGCATTTTCGAGGAACGAATCTATTTATTCTATTCAAAATTGGATAACCGTAAAAAGACTAATTTTTTTTTCACTGTAAAATCAAATTCAGCATGAATTAAATAATGAATGTTCCCATATTATCATTACTATTGTAATTGAATAAAATAATTTCTGAGCTCCCATTTTTCTTCTCATTGCGGTAATAATTAATTACTTCAAAAATATCAGACTTGGGAGTGACTGAATTACCGGAATACTTTGGAATAATTAATAATTCTGTTGAACTAATCAAGTTTCACCTCGGCTCGCCGATTTTGCGAATTATTCGTGCTGATTGGAAAATCAGGGCATCCGCTCCTGAATAAAATATCAACGTAATAATAATTTCTTGTGGTTTACACCGATAAAATTGTTAAAAATTCGTATGTACAGAATCTCGACAGTAACGATTGCTCGAACCCTTCCCCCTGCAATCACCTTAAAAGGGATAAATTCAGACACAGAGTTGATGGTTTCAAATTGAATTAACGTAATTCGTGCTACTCTCTGACGAGAGCTAATCACATTTCCATTGAATTAATGAACTCCGTGCACTCAATTCTATCGATTCGGAAAGAAACAGTAAAAAACGGAGGGAAACAATAGAAAAAAAAAAAAAAGAAAACCCAGAGGTGATTTTCATGACGACCTCCGGAGGTCCGATTCAACTGGGGGTAAATACAGAGGAGTGGAATTGATTTTACAAAAACATCAGTCATATCTACTTTTTTTATGTTGACGTCATCGAAGAGAAGTACTCCGTTGAAAATCAAGGAGCTCGTAAAAATATTTAATTTTAATCACCGACGATCGTTAGATTTTTCCGGTCACAGTGGTAATTGGAATGGGAATTTAATGTAAGTGGGGGAAAAAGTAACGAGTACGTGGAATTTGTAATTATATACAATTCAAGAGTTTTTGGTAATGCGGATAAACTTTATGACGTGTTTGTACTGCATAAAATATTCCGCTAATGAGGTCAAATTCGCGACTATTGTTAATGGTATTCCAATATAGCAATAATTAATCTTTTGTTATTTACAAAAGCTCCATGTATTAATTATTAATTCAATACTGGATTATGCGAAAATTTCAGGAAAATCAGTAGTTGTGAAAATAACATTGAATTCGCGCACGAGAATAATAATTTTCAGGAGCTGTCCCACACAGAAAAATACATGTTATCAATTATATCTTTTTTTAAAATAAATTTTCATTTAATAAAATGTTGAGTTAATGAAAAAAATTGTACGGAATTATTTCCTCCGCAAATAAAATGATGGAATAAAATTTACGAAGCGATTGCATTCTGGTAATTGAATATTTGATGATAATAACAATAATACATCATTATTATTGATATATTATTATTATTACAGTTGCATAATGATGAATATTTCAGATATCTTTGATATTTTCGTCGGAGATAAATTTTTTAAAACTAAACAATATCAAACAACAATTGCTTCTGTCTCTCAGAACTTCGTATTTCGCAATTCTTCTCCATAATATACAATGATATCTGAGATAAGACAAGACCAAGGGACATAAATATTCAGAGACAATTCACCGTGTGAATGTGAGAGGAAACAAACAAATTTAACTCTTCTTCCCGGGTTTTGGCGAGGGATGAAAATGCTCTGGGGATAGATCCGCGGAAAATAAGAGAGAACATCTTCTCCAGCGACTCTTCGGTAAATAAACGATTCAAGAGATGAATATCATTCTTATTTCCACGCGAATTCACCGACCAGTTGAGACTTGATAGAAAATAATTATTCAAATAGAGAGGAAATACTCGAGAAAATATGATCCTATTCGTAATTTTATTCTACCCCACTCGCTGCTGAGACAACTTTTTGTCGGGTAGGAGAATTAAATCCTCTTATAACCGGCATCTGACGAGCGCAACTGGATGCAATTATAGTGTTTTCCATCGGAAATTGTTTGGGTTTTCTAATGAGACCTTCTACTCTGTTTCCCACCGTTTTATTGGCGAATGTGCCACGCCGAAAAGACAATTTATCAAATCAGAAAGACGGCACGTGCAATAAAATTTAATCACATCTTCCATCAATTAAATTTCAATTCGCAATTAATTCTTTTTTCCCTGATTAAATTTCACTCAGTTCCTGATGTTATTAGCAATCAATCATGTAATTGCTTTAACTTCCGGAGTGATAAATTTAGACTGATGAAAATTTATTGTTCAATTTTTATTCGGGAGAATTGAGTGCTTCGTGTTAAATAATAAATCTTTGAAGAATGAATTCTTGGAAATAAATTAATAATCGTAACTTACGATCACAAAATCGTTAATGTCTTGGTAATTGTCGTAAATTATCGTTACGTAAATGTTATTTACGACAATTGCGAGCGCAATATGCAATTATCCAAATCGTAAATTACGTTTATGTAATCGTAACTTACGACAATTTTGAGGGTGATTTACGCTCCAACTTAGTTCACTCATAAAATTTATCTTCAACCTCGTTAAATTCCATTTCTCAACCTTAATTTACATTTACTTTTATGTGCAAAAATGTTAAAAGTCGTTAAACAATGAAAAAACTAACCGTTACAATGGCGTCTAAATTTTCAAAATTTCCACTAACGCGACACGATTACCATATTTTATTTATTCATTCCATCCCTAAAATATACTCCCAAATAAAAAATAATAATAACAATATCAACAACGCAATCACATTGCAAATAATAAAAATCCCCTAGATTAAAATTTTTTGACTCGAAATTTCAATCGTAATTTTTCATCAGTCTAATTTATTTTCTCAGAGTGATTTTCACCTCGACATCCTGGGATCAAGTCTTCCCCCGGGGATCAATATGTGTCGTTAATGCGAGGGTTTCTCCCCCAAAAACCCCACCACCCACCCACCCACTGACAAAACGCCCGCCTGACGTGTGGGCGTACGACACATATAAACTTTTTACCCTCCCCCCCAACACTTAAATACCACAGGTTTTTTTTTTTCATTTTTTTTTCTGTCCTCCCACGTGCATGTGCAAACGGTACGTTTATACCTTCCCAGGGGCTCATTCTAATGCGAAAATCTCTCGAGTCTCTTTTTCAACTCAACTCCAGGATATTTTTAACAAAATAAAGAGAAGTTGTAATAACATACGCTGCCGATCCATCCGAGTATGTTGATACCCTCATTTATTAAACATTACTTTCTTTTATCCACAAAGGTGAAGCTTACGAGGGCTCACAGAAGAATAAATGTAATGAAATTGACAATCCTACGTGAAACATGGAATTACAAATTTTTTCACCATCACCGAGGAATAAATGAATCGT